CGGTAGGCCGGCAGGAGCAGCGGCGAAGGCCACTCGGGAGCGGGCTCCCCGGCCACGTGCTCCGCCAGCGGGGCGCGCAGGAACGATCGATCCGGTGCTGCCTTCTCCTCATGCGGTGCGGGTGTTTCGCCTGGGCATCGAAATCGCCGAGAGGTCGGCGGCCTCCCCCTGCCTCCCTCCCGCCCCGCGATGCTCCGGCCGCTCCTCCCGTGCCTCCCGGGGTGCCGGCGGGGTGTCCCCCACGCTCCCGAGGCTGAGCCGTCCCTGACTCCCACAGGGATGCTGCCCGGGAGCCGGATGGCGCCTTCGCAGATCAGTACCAGCGGCACGGCTCCTGCATCGCCAGCCAGCGCCTGTTTCCCAGCGGGACGGGAGCTGGCGGAGGTGAATGGGTGGGTGCCAGCGGCCCCGGTCGCTGCAGCCCCAGCCAGAAGGCGATGCCTTCGTCTCCTCCTCTGGGCAGGGATGGAGATTCCCTGGGATGCCCAGCTGGGTTTGGCGCAAGGTGCATGCTGGCACCTGAGCCCTCGCTGCTGGGGCAGAGGAGCAGGGTGGAGGTGGGCTCGGCACAGCGCCCAGGCTGGTAGCCCACAGCTCGGGGGCCTTTGGTGGCAGTGGGTCCCATTGCTCCCCAGGCCCTGGAGACTTCTGCTCTGCAGCTCCCACGGGACCCACCAGCTGTGCTCCGCTGTGGAGAAGATGCCGACTCCTGGGAGTGCAGCGACTGCAGTGCTGTGAGCACGGGTGAGGGGTGCAGCCGAGGGGACAGGGTCTCCAGGGCTGTGTGGGCACCACAGCCATGTGGGACCTGGGGACAGGCGCAGGGCTGTGATCCGTGGCTGTGAGCCTGGCATGGGCTGCTCGTGCTCATCATCTCCCTGCCCCTTGCAGTGCCCCCCGGTGCAGCCGGCCCAGGGTCCAGCCCCCCCTGCGCAGGGACCCTCGCACGGCACCCTGGCCTGTGGCACGTTGGCTGAGGAAGAAGAGGCCAGGATCCTCCCAAATGGAATCTGAAAGTTGCAGCCCAGTGGCTGGTGCTTTCCCTGCGGTGCTTCCCACCGCCTCCTGGCAGATGAGCCAGCGGCTCTGGTCCTGCTGCACGGGCCGTTGCTTCCAAGCAGAACGACCTGGGGTACAGAGGAGACAGTTCAGCCCCAGCCCCGCGGGGCGGCTACACTCAATTGAACTCTCCGAAGAACTGGGAGACACGCAGCCCTGCTTGCTCCCGCAGGGGAAGTGGAAGATTCTGGGGACGGCACGGGGTTGGTGACCTGTGCAGCACTGGACACAGGGCACAGGGATACGTGCCCCCCCAGCCTCACCTTCTGTGCCACCTGCTTCAGCTCCTGCTGGATGTTGGGGAAGAGGAAACCGTAGAAGCCCTCTTCATCAGCCCCTCCTCCGCCTCAGCCCACCAGCGTGGTGCTGCAAGAGGGGAAAAGAGGGCATGTGCTACATGGGCTGCTGCTGGTGATGCAGGGCCGGGGACTCACCAGGCACTTCTCACGGATGCAGAGTCCAGCCTTACGGCACAGCTGCCCAGCTACCTTGGGGACACATCTGTGCACGGGCACAGCCCGCACGCTGCCGGGGGAGGGTGGCACTGTCACCCCAGCTGGTGGGGGTAACGCCAGGAGTGGGATGAGGGAGAGGCCGGAGCACCTTCCCGCAGCGTGTGGGCACCCCTGCT